GGCATATAAATGTATGCACACTTCCACATTTGATAGATTTATGCTGTACATGAGTCATCCCACACGGAGCATGCCCTTTCACAAAGATATGCATGGACGTCTCGGGATGTATGTTAAAACACACTGGGTCAAACATTTTGGCAATTGGGAATCAGACACAGAGGAGCATACCAGAAAGATGAGTTCACAACAGGACCAGCTTTACTTAAGATGAGAACTCCAGAAACCTGAAACAGAATTTATTGGGGTTCACACATGCACCATATATGTACAGTACAATTGGGGTAACTGGAACATTCACAGCAGCAGGTCTTACAGAGCAGTAAAACCAGAAAAGAAACAAGACGAAACAAAACACCCAAATACCAAAACTAAGGACAGGACCCCTGCCAGGATTTCACTGCAAAGCAGAGTGGATTGTGGGTTTAGCACATGTCCAAAACGGAGATTCATCTGAAAGCAAGAACTCTTCTAGGACTTTATTTACACTATCCAGACATTAGTAAAGGACACATGATCTGTTCATATGTTCCTGGATCACGGTGAGGATACATAACTGCATTTTGGATGCTATGAAAGCACATATCAAGAAAGAATATTTCTTTTTTCTTCTGTTTGATTGGGGACATAGACCCTGTATAATAAATGTATAACAGTAGCAGTGGAAATGAGATTAAGACGATCTGTCCAGTTCTTTCTAGATAGGCCTGGTGAACATCAAAAGCAAGAAAGGAATTTTCTTTTTGCACACCTATGGGTGTAAGAAGGGAGACACTTTGTAACTTCAAATGAGTTTTTGTTTCCCCAGCATAAAATAGCCAATTTACTGTACATTCTCCCTGAGGGAACAATACCCATGCAAAGCAGTGGACCCTCTGCACTGTGGGTCCTGTTTTGAGTCAATACAGAGGCAGAAAGAAACCCTTTGTGTACTGACATGAGGTTGAGCTTGCTAAGTCTTTCCTTCCCTCAGGCTGACCCACGAACCTGCGGGACTCAGTTTGATGGGGCCTGGGTCTGTGCAGGGGGAGGCCATGTGTGGGCCAGGGCTCAGGTAGTGGTATGCAGGCAAAGGACTAACAGCTGTCTGGGAAGAGGAGTCTGATTTGTACCATTTTGTCCATTTCCATGGTGTAAATTTACATGGCTGATTTCAAGCTGCAAATGTGGTTTCATTGAACCTGGGGTTGGGAAGATATGCACAGTGACACATCATTACACAGCATTTCTATCATACAGGTACAATATGCATGTACTACCACAGGGCATACATAAGGCTAAAATGTAGTGAAATAATGAGAAAGTGATGAATGTTGAAAATTTATTACCTTTGTTTTTAAATATAATTTAATTGTAAGTTCACATAATTTAATTTTTAATAATGACTGTGTCTCAACTGGCTTGCACAATTCCTGACACCACGGACTCTGAGCCAGGCTGAGTCTCTAGCACATCACTGGCTTACAGCAACTGTAGCCCCTGGGAGCAGGCTTGGCCAGTCACTCTCCAGGTACCTGAAAGCTGCTGAGGATTGTGCACCCCTTCTTGTAGGGCAGGCCGCTAGCTTGGCATCAAACCATGTCTGAGTCTGAACAGAGAGCTGACGGCTACATTCTCCTGCTCCTGGTTCTGGCCCTCTTGGCCCCGAGGAATGTAGTAGGGTAGGCAGAGAAGGGGCATGCTGTAATCTCAGCATTTAAATCTGAATGGAAAGCACCAAGCAGGACCCTCTGCAGGCATGGAGAGGTGCATCCTCCTCCCACAGGATATGAATTCTGAGAACCTCGCTGCAGACTTCCTCATCTTTCAGGAATCAAATGCCAAGCTCTCAGACTTCTGCCCCAGAGATAGGCCTCTCAGACTTCATGCCAGTGGTGCCCATCCAATCAGCCACAGGAGTTGAGAAGCAGTTAGACATCTAGCCTGGTACAGCACGCTGTGTCAAAGCCCACAGTCTGGTGCTCACACTCCTGCACCTGCTCCCAGTGACACGTTCTCCACCCTCTGGCCTCCACCACAGGCATGGCTGCACGTTCTTTAACACCAAGTGCCCCAGTAAAACTTGGCCTCATTTTTGTATACTGCTGGAGTTAAGAGGTGATGAGATGGGGAAAGGAGGAAGAATAGAAGAGAAAGAGAGGAAATGAGTGTGAACTGCCTGGAGGAGGTAAGGGGAAGGGATTTCGTAGGTAAAAAGGAAATTAGGCCTCTCAGAGGACGGTGGGGGAGCCATTGACAATCACCCTCTCTGCTCTGCCTCCCCGCAGGCCCCAGAGCCCAAAGGTCCTTTGCAGCTTCAAGACTCTTTGCAATGACCATGAACTGCTTTTAAACTAAAATCTTAAAATCTCCTGCCACTAACTGTCAGCCTCTGTTTTCTGGCTTATCTGCTGAGGGTAGAGAGGGAAAAGCCTCTGTAGGGATATCTGCAAAGACAGTTGACTCAGTCACAAGTCTTCACAATCAGAAAGGAAACACCCTGGGAAGCTGAGGCCAGGGGACGTGGCAGCAGCTGCGGGATCTGCTGACTCTGCTCTGGAGAGAAACGCCATTGCTGCCTGCTCTGGAGCAGGCTTCCAGCTCTGCCTCTAGTTCCAGGCCATGAAAAGAACACCTCGGAAGAAACTGGGTCTTTACAAAATGCTGTCTATGCTACTGATTCTTAGCCTCAAATAGTATCTTAGTGCGATTTCCTGACAAGATAGTGAAAGAAATAGTACATGTGTGATTCTGTTTTTCCCATTTTCCCAGTAGTAGTCAGCAGTCCCTCCAAGAAAATCCAAGCAATTGAGGAGTTTTCTCCTCCTGTCAAAGATATTCCCAATTTTGGGGTAGTTCCTGCACTGCCCATCATAGGCTGTTAGTTCTTTCAAATTTGGGAAAATAACACTTTGTATTTATAGGGAGGGTTTCAACAATGGGGGTTTCACTGTGGGATCCCCATTACAGATACCTGCTCTTTTATTCCCCCTGTTCTGCTGCCCTCACCTCTGCAAATGGCCAAGTACCTTCATGTACACAGTGCCTTAACCTTGCACATGGGAGGTGCTCAACAAATATTTATTGACTAATCACATGAAAGGCTGACAGATCATTGGCTGCTCTGCTCAGCTCTTTTCCCCACCCAGCCCTGCTAGCCTTAAACAAGGGCCTAAGCAGACCCATGAAATGTACACTTGTCACTCAAAATTCTGGGAATATTAAGCGAGATTGAGGTATCATTTGAGAAAGACCATAGAAAGTTCTGGCAATGGCTGTGAGACACCAATGATAGGAGGAATGGTCAATTCTGAAAGCAAAAGAAGATTTCCCAGGGGAAACTGTCAATCCATACCTGAGACAAGGAAGGGGCACATACTACATCTAGGTGATACTGACGATTTTCTGTCTACCTTACAAAGATTAAGAGAGAAGCTTTACTAAAAAAGTTTTGGTTGGCAGAGACAAGAACTTTAAGAAATGTATAGTCCACTTCAGAGTGCCTTACTGTATGGATTTCTTCTTGTTGCTGCAATGTAAGTGTAGGTTTGGAACTGGATTAAGTTCAGCATAATATTGGGGTTAAAGGAAAACAAATATACAGCCAGTATGTACCTTAAGCCCCCCATTATCCTTCTGATACCAGGTGAAGGCCAAATTCAGACATTTCCTTTCATGCATGAACAGGTAATGTGTCTTATTGAAGCAATAGGTAAAGGTCTTTTTGATACTAAAAATTGCAGAGTATCAGATTCTGTTTTGGTTGGCAGAGGGAATCAGAAAGTATTCTCATGGAATGCATTTGAAATGACACCAGAGTCTAGAAAGTCTCAGCTGTGCCCTCATTTCTTCACTGGAACCTTTTCAACGATTATCTTGGGGTCTCCCTTCTGTCACTACATTTCTTTTCCTACCTTTCGGGTGGTATCTCAAGACAACCAGAAAAGCAGCTAAGCGGTTTTCTGTGCAAACCTGAACTCTTGATTTGGTGAGATTTGTAAGTGTAGGAGCATCTTCCAGTTTGGGTGATATCAATTAAAAACTCAGTTTTTGAAGGCGTTGGTCTACTTAAGACCATGCATGTTCCAAGAATAAAATGGAGTAAGGAGACAGGAGAGTTATAAGATTCAGCCTGTGTGATAGTATTGTGACCAGAGAGTCTTCTAACCATGTATATCTGGCAGGGTCGGCCCCTTTCCTGGGCAGGCAATGATAACAGCCCAACCAGCACTGAATTGAGATAATGCCCATGATGCTAAGCAGCTGGCAGCACAAACAACACAGGAACTGTGTTCTCTGGCCTATCCCACAGGGGCTTCCTGAACAGCTTCCTGAGCTCTTGTAGGCTCACCTATCTCTTAGTTTTTCAGTTTCTCAACTAAACCGATTTGGTGCTTGTCAAGATGAGTTTAGTCTCAGAGGATGGTAGATAATAATAAGATGAAGCTATTTTCATGAAGATCTAGAATCTTGGAATGGTCCCAACAGCAAAGTCAACCCAATCCTTTACTCTATAGATGAGGAAACTGAGGACCAGAGATGTTCAATGACTTACATTCTCCCTGGCAACATCTGGGTCTCAGCGTTGGTTAGTGGGGGAGTATGGGCTAGGCCCCACCTCTCTTATCTCCCAGGGTCAGGTCTCTGCATGTGAGATCATCCCTGGCTGCTGGGTTTGGCATTCTGGATTGATTTCAAAGAGCTACAAAGAAATTTTAGATAGAAAAGCAGTTAGAAATATAGGAGCAAGTGGGACTGCTTCCTAGGCTTTCATTGTCAGGCACACTCTCATTTTCCTTCTCCGACAGATGAAATGGGATTCTGGTTGCATGTCCAGTGCCAGCGGCCTCCTACACTGACAGAACTGTGAGCTGTTCAGTTGCACGGCTGTGTCTTAACCCAGCCAACCAAAACAAGCCAGACAGGCCATACCACATACTTTCGGAACAACCTGAGCTCTTTCACAGAAAATCACCGTGAGGAAGGCAGAGAAAACTGCATGAAAGGTGGAGAAGGTGGCAACCAAAGGTTTGTGACCAGGCTGTCCAGATTAGAATAGACCCCTCTTGGCCCACCTGGGAGGCTTGGATTTGGTGACAGGAAGGCCGAGAAAGGTCCTTCTGAAGGGGATGCATGGTGGCAGGTTTCATGAAGTGGGGTTCTGCTGGTTAATCCTATTCAGACCCAACCTAGAGTTACAATAAATTCTGTAGAACTTCTTTGCAGCTTGGGAGATACTTTATGCATTTAGAGCTACAACAGACATTTAAAAGTAAAGATGGCCCAGTAAGCAAGCTGAACTATCACAGAAGACTAGAGACAGCAGCAGCATGTACATTCCTATTTTTCTTTTGAATGGGTTGATGGAGATACACACCTTAGTTATTACTGCTCATGCTACATTCAACTACAACAACCTGCTCAGGTCCCCAGATATGCCTTTCCTAGGAAGGTAAATCAAGGGGTAGGTAGGTGGGGAAATAAATCATATGGAAGAACCATTCAAGGTGCTCTCTTGGGTTGTTTGACTGCTTTGTTCTCCAATAACATTACGTGAGGCAGGAGTGAGGGTAAATTCAGTTTCTTTCCCTCCTTTGTTGATATCGGTCTAATAGACCTCATCTAGTTTTAATTGATTCTCCTTCTTCTGCCCCCTTTGCAGTTTTGGGTTTGAGTTCCCCTGAGCCTGTGTCCCCAGGGAACCACCCTCTTCCTCCAGCCCCCAACACCAGGCTGCCCCCCTTACAGACCTAAACTACCGCAAGGTGGGTCGATGTGTGGCTTTTGTTAATGAAAGAAGCCTTTCCCAGGGCCTGACTCTGCCTCTAGAGCTCTATGAGGGTCATTAGGGAGGGGAGTGGCAGCAGAGAGGCCTCGGGGGTTAAGACAACTTTGAAGGTAATGGCTATTAGAAACAAAGGCTCTCCTTTCCCAGAGGCCTCAGGGCTGTAGCCTGCTGGAAATGCCTATAATAAGGAACGAGGATAACCCTCTAACAACACAGAGGGCGCTGAAAAAAGGAATATTGTTTTAATATGGGATTTATTCTTGGCTGCTGGTCATTGCTGCAATTCTACTTGAAGAGGCTTCAGATTTCAAAGACGAGTGAAAAGGACGAGCTTGCAGCCAGGGCAGACGAGGGGGGTGAGAAGGTCACCGAGCTGACTGTCCATGGGAATGTCCTGCGCTGACCTCTCTCTCTCAGGCCAGATTCCAGAGGTAAAAGGAGCAGCCAAACTACAGCAGGAGATGCTGCCCTTGTTGCCAGAGGGCCCCTCGGCACGCAGCAGGCTGTGCTTCCACAGAGCCAGCAGCCAGGAACACAATGACCAGTGCATCAGCCCAGTGGAAGTTACAGGAACGAGGCCGCTTCAGGGCAAGTCCCGTGTCAGCTACCTGGGGGCACTGTCGCTCAGGAAAGTGGTACTTTCGAGGGGAGGTCGTTTGGATGAATGGAAAAATCGGGTAGGCAGACCCAGTTTTTAAGAAGTGACTTTTTTCCCCTGAATCTGCTATCTGGCAAGATCAATGGCCACTGGGGGTGGGGGCGGGAGGTAAACGCAGGCAGAGCTCTCTGTCTCTGGTCTCTGATTCTCTAACATTCTGGCCACCTGCCAAAATCATAGACACTGCCGTGGTCCCTTTTCCTCCTATTTTTTCAGCAGTTCCATCGGGCTTTCTGGCAGCAATCTTGCTCCCGCACCCCACTCGGATCGTTGCCGCAGAGCCCTTATTTTTCTGGTCAGCAGTCACCTTAATTGTCACTGCCTGAAGAGAGCTCCACCCAGCTCTGTTTGGTACCACAGGGTTTTCTTTGAAATGTCTGCTGTCACAGTGAGAATTGCTGGGTGTCCTTTTCTAAGTAAACAGGAAATATCACTCTGAAAAAAAAAAATCCCTTTCCTCAGCACAAATGCAATAAAATGCCAACTTATATTTCCTGTGAATGTTGAACGACGAGCAGGATCTAGTCCTTACGGCAACACAGTCCTCTTCTTGGCTTCTAAACCTTCAGTACCCAGCAGCTCAGGGAGGCCTGGCTGACTAGGACACTTAAAAATGCTTCCACTGATTTTTGGGAGGCAGCAGGATCACAGCTGGGAAGGATAACAATGCATGGAAAAAAACCTGTGCAAAATCACATTTAAGGGGCAAGACGTTATGCATCTAAATTTTAGTCACAGCAAGAGTCACTGGTTCTGGTATTTGACCACCTTCCTAGATCTGAAAAATCAGAAGCCTTGAGTCAGCCAGGAGTGTTGACGCAAGGCAGGAGAGAGAAACACAGGATGGATGGCTTTTTTCCTTTTACATCAGGACCTGGGTTCGTGTGTCAGGCAGGCGCAACCCCACCAGTCCTCCACACACGAGCACAGTGGAGGCCAGTAGGATGGGGATTGATTTGGTGATGTTGACCAGAGAGCCAAATATGAGGTTTCCAAGGACAGCTGCTGCTTTGCACAGCGCATTCAAGAAGCCAAAGCCTGTTGCCCTGCAAAGGAGAGAGAGAGACGATCAAGGCTGAGAAAGTGACTCCCAAGATTCCCACTTTAGACACAAATGTACTGTAAGGTAATTTGCAAGGAGATTGTTTTATATATCATTAGAGCAAATAAACACTTGTTTATATCTGGAGGCAGAGAACTCCAACTGTTGGTATTGTTCCTTCAGTCCTCTGCTGACTTTTCAACACCTAGATTGAATCTTATACTGCCCACAAGTTCCTACTTATCATGAAAAGAAAGAGAAAGGAAATTTCAGGGACTAAGAAAAGTCTCTTCTTTCTTCTGGAGTTAAATTAAAATGTATGACAATATATATCTATTTTTTGACAATATAGTTCTTTAGATTTTTTTATCTCTTGCTTCCACTTAGCTTGATTAATGTGGGATATTTTAAATAACTAAAGCTCATGGAATTTACAGAGAAAAACAGGGTATGAGTGGGTTGTATCTTTCTGGTACCATGAACTGAACTATCTTGCCCTCTTCCTGAATATTTTTGGTAGCAGGCAGAGCTGGGTGGCTAACCGGTTGGCTAGAGACACATTTCTTACAAATCCTCATCAGAGTTCTATGTGAGAAATCAAGTCCAAGAAAATATTACAGAGGAGAATCAGACTGTAGGCCTAGAGAAGATCTTGCTTACTCTGCTGGCATTTCAAATGCATGGGTATTATGTAAATAAGATGCATCCTATTTCTTGAGACATTCTTTGGAAAAGACAAATTTTATTATCTTTACATGTGTTGAAGGTGATTCTACTGTGGTCTTCTAAAGCAGGAATCAAGATACCACTGACATCATGAGGTAACATGAACTCCCTCTGCCTTTATGCCGGTTCAGTTTTTTTTGTCTGTCACTGAGCACATGTGTGTATTCGAGGCATATAGACTATGGAGTAATTGTTGGATAATACATTGCTCCCCCTCCAGAGGGCAATGCATTCTGTGTGCTGTAAAATGCAGCATCCAGTACACACCTTTCTTTGAGTGTGAGTGTGTAAGTGTGGGTTTTCCTTCGGCAAGTCATAATAGCTGTTGTGCTGTACCTGGTGGTATTTTCTACAGTGCACAGATATTTATTGTGGTTACTACCCAGCCATCCCCCTTCCCACACCATGAAAGGAGCAATACTCCTCCTGTGCTGCAGGGCCAAGCCTATGAGGTAGTTAGCCCAGGGCCAAGGCTTTTGCTAGTTAGAACAGATGTAGAAAAGGGCAGCAAGTGAGGGCAAGACACCTAGGAAGTCGAGTAAGCAGGCTTCGGCAGTGCGGCAAAGTGACCAAGTGTTGGAATGTGGAAGGGGTGTAACCGAATCTCTGAGCAAAACAGGAACTTTTTAAGAAGAGGGTAAGCTAATTTTGTATTCTTCTTCTTTTCGGTTTGTTTTTAAAGAAAAAGCCTATAATATCAACATTCACCCGAAAGATGAGGAGATTTCATATGTGGCAACTATTTTCAAATGAAATTGTTGAGGCAGCCTGTTGGGTGCTGAAGGAGACCTCTGTAGAAAGACGTCGCTGTCCACCGCCTCCCCACCTCTGTGGAGATGCCGTTTGGCAGGCTTGTCTTTTTTAATTCATAGACCTTTTGGAGCAGCTTTAAGTTTCCAAGAAAACCAAACTGAGTGAAAAGTAAAAAGAGTTTTCAAAAGTAAAAAGAGACCCCCTTCCTTCCCACCCATCATTAAGATAGGGTGGTGTCGTTGTTTACAACCAGTGAGCCAATATTAATACACCATTATAAGCTGAAGTCCATGGTTTACACTGGGGTTCACTCTTGGTGTTGTACACTCTATGGGCTTTGACAAATGCATAATGGTATGTGTCCACCGTTACAGTATCACACAGAATGGTAGTTGCACTGCCCTGAAACTCCCTGTGTTCCCCCCACTCACCGCTCCATCTCTCCCTGACTAACCTCTGGCAATTACTGATCTTTTGACTGTCTCCACAGTTTTGCCTTTTCCAGAAAGTCATATAATTGGATCATATAGGTTATAACTTTTTCAGAATGGCTTCTTTCAATTTTTTAAAACTACATTTTAGTTTCTAGATTGTAGAGTAATAAATTACCAAATATATCTTAGGGTGGTAAGATACACACTGTATCTTTCTGGGAAAAGTGGCTAGTGTGTATGCTGTTGATAAGAGAAAACATTCTTTCATATGAAGAAGCCTCTTGAGGCTGAAACTGAAGAATGACCCATGCAGAATTCACATCTGTATTAAAATAACCGTATTTTCCCAAGCTATAAACCTCTGGTATAACTCTGAACAGAGTACGAACTACAGGTGGCTATCTACTTATATTGCTGAAACTGCAGTGGAGGAATGGATGACTTTCTGAGATTTCTGGGCAGCACTAGAGATACATCAGGAGCATTTGACTTCTGAAGCTTCTAAAAAAGACGATCAAATCCTTATTTCCCAAGAATCTCCTTTTTCATTCACCAAGTAGAGGCAGTTTTTCAGAGGAAAATTTGGTGTGGATACAAAGCATACGGCCTCCTTAAATTAGTCATGGCATTCAAGAAAATATTTCCCTTGGATAAGTAAATTATTTCATCAAATACTTGCAGCTGAAGGGTGTGATTTTCTATGCATCTCATGCACTGCGATCTATATGAGAAAAATCATTCCCAAATGTGTCTCCCTTCAGAGTTATCTGTTTATAAAATTAACAAACTTTTAGTTCATGTATTCCCTTGTTCTTCCTTAAAGGGAAGCCATTAACGTCTGCAGACACAAAGCACAAGTTACCTTGGGCTCAGAAGTGCTGAGGGTGGGCACTCAGTCGGGGGAGCCCTGACTTGACTTGCTGACTTCTCAACAGCAGGACAAGCTACCGTCCTTTTTACCCCAGACCAAAGATGTTTGATGTTCATGCTTCTCTCACCCAGCACTGAAGACAAAGAATGATCTGTTTTCTTTCTATAAATCCATCCCTTGTTTCCCTACCTCTCCAGTAAGAATTCTTTGTTTTCAATGCTTACTTAACCTACTGAAATCTTTTCCGCGGAAAATCTTTTCTCGAGCAGTGCCTGGGGCTGCAGCAGCCTGTTTCCATCCCGTGAGCGGCTCTCCTCCCGGCTCTGCCTCCTCCCCTAGGCAGCGGTGCAGGAGCCACTTGCGGGAGCGTGGGTGCACTTAGCTCAACTGATGGGGGCGGTAGCTGCTGGCACGTCCCTGACTGCAGCTGGACTGTGGCCTCTTTGCCAGGCCTTCACGATTTCTAAGTCATTTTATGGGTTCTAAATCATTTTATGCTTTAACTGCGGGTGGGGAAAAGGAAAGTGCTGGATCCATTCTAGGTAAAGTGAGGATAGCTTTGCCTTCACATCCAGCCTCTTACTTGAATTTTCTGACTTCATTGTAGGGTCACCGTGGGTTTTCAGAAGCTCTTGGGAAGAAGAAGGGATGCTGAATAACAGCAGCCTTTAGGCCCTGCCTGGCATATGTTAGGCAACAGGCCAGGGTTAGCCATTGTTTTAAGCATTGGCTGAAATATTTGCCCTATTGATTGATGAAGTTAGGAAAACAGTATAAATGTTACAATTTGAAAAGGATTGAAGTGGTGTAGAAACAGACTCAGCTCATGGAGCTCACCTATTAATGGGTAAAATGCGAGCATTGTCTTTGTCAAATCTAAGCTTTTGGAAAGGAATTTCTTCTGGACAACCAGTCAAATCATTGGTACAAGTCAGGAAAGGAGTACTCAAGGCTTAGCATAGGGCATTTGGAAAGTACAGACAGTCCTTAAATCAGGAACACAGTCATCCCCCCTTATCTGCAGGGGATACATTCCCAGACCTCCAATGGAGGCCTGATAGTCTGAACCCTATGGATACTATTTTTTTCCTATACATACATACCTATGATATAAAGTTTAATTTATAAATTAGGCCCAATAAGAGATTAACAATAATGAATAATAAAATTGACCAATTATGACAACATACTCTAATAAAGATTATGTGAATGTGGTCCCTCTCTCCAGCTCTTGAAATATCTTATTGTATTGTACTCACCCTCTTCCTGTGGTGCTGTGAGATGATAACACACCTACATGATGAGATGAAGTGAGATGAATGACACAGGCACTGTGATGCAGTGTTAAGTCATTACTGACCTTCTAACCATATGTCAGAAGGAGGGTCATCTGCTTTTGGACTGTGGTTGACAGCAGGTAACTGAAGCCATGGAAAGTGAAACCTTGGGTGAGGGGGGAGACTACTGTATACTGTGATTCAAAGATTCATCTGAAAGTTGGCTTTTAAAGACACAGAATGAATTTCATTTTTCTCATAGAAACAATATAATGATGGCTAGGTTCCCAGATTAACCTGAAAAAGCTATTTTAACACTGAATCCACCTGAGCTATTGGACTATAAAATTGAATATTTGTCTAGTGAGCAAATTGGTTCCTAATATAGTCCTAAATTACACATTCTCCTATGCATTTACTAACTTAACAATCATTATTAATCATCTATTATGTGTTAGCACAGTCCTAGGCACCAGAGATCCCCAAGTTAGTAAGATAAAGTCCTATTTTGCACTAAGATGGATGCAAAAAGATCATGATGACAACATGCCAAGTGTAGTGCAGTGCTAAAGACACCCATGGGGTACTAGGGGTGCAGAGGATGGGAGCAATTCAGGCTGGGGCTAGGGGCAGCTGAGGGAAGGCTTCTCAGAGCAGATAGATGAGAACAGAACTGGTCTTGAAAGAAGAGGAGGAACTTAGAATGTGGGCAGATCTGGCTCCCAAAATACTCTCACAGCTTACTTATCTCCGTGGTACCCCACTCAGGTCTGCCTTAGACACCCCCAACAAAGGCTGCTTGGGTGCCACATGGCCTGCCTGCCTCCAGTCCCCAAACGAGTATCCCACCTCCTCACCCAGCTCTTCTCAGCTGAGGGTCAGAACAGTAATCTGGGTGAAGAGGGGGTGGGGGTGGGGTGGCAGGACACCGACATGTATACCC